TCCTCATAGATGGCCAAAAGTAGAATAACATCTCTCGCTTCGTTGAGGCCCTCAATGGCCTTTGACTCTCCACTGGACTCTCGGGCCGCATGAACCAATGTTTATAGTGCGGCATCTAACCTCTTCGCGTGAGCTCGTGTTATAGGCTCCAATGGAACTTTCACTTGTTCCACTTGGATAGCTCCCTCAACTTCCTCATCAGGCGTGTTTCATCCACAAAAGTTGAGCAGAACATGCACCGGTGCCCATATATTTCGCTTCCGTTGTAGACAATGAAACAACACCTTGTTTCTTACTATACCACGACACTAAACAATCACTAAGAAAATGGCAAGTACCACTGGTGTTTTTTCTATCTACTCTATATCTAGCAAAATCGGCATCCAAAAAACCAATTAAAACAAAACTCTTAGATTTAGGATGCCATAAATCATAGATCATTGTACCTTTCAAATATCTAAAGATATGCTTAACGATAATTAAATGAGAGTCTCTAGGGCATGATTGAAATGTAGCACACAAGCATACGACAAACATAATATCCAACCGACTTGTGATTAAATAAAGTAAACTACCAATTATATTTCTATAAGAATTTTCATTTACATTGGTACATTTTTTATCCTTATTAAGTTGGGTGGATGTACACATAGGAGTTCCAACTTCCCTTGAATTTCCATTCCAAACCTTTTGAGTAGTTTTTTTTTTGTGTACTTGGTTCGGTTGATGAAAACTCTTTCTTGAATTTGTTGAATTTGTAGCCCAAAGAAGAAATTCATTTTTCCATCATTGCTCATCTCAAACTCCCTTTGCATTAAATTTGAAAACTCTTTGCACAAATATTCATTAGTGGCACTAAATATAATATCATCCATATAAATTTGAACAATTAAAAGATCATTTATATAAAATTTTGTTAAAAAAAAGTGGTATTACAACTCCGCTTTTAAAATCATTTTCAATCAAAAATTCACTTAATCTTTAATACCAAGCCCTTGGGACTTGTTTCAAACCATACAATGCCTTTGTAAGTTTGAAAACATAATTTAAAAAAATTTATTTGCAAAATTGGGAGGTTATTTAGCATACACCTCTTCATCAATAAAATCATTCAAAAGGCACTTTTAACATCCATTTGAAATAATTTGAAACCTATATAACTAGCGTAGGTAAGAAACATTCTAATGGATTTGAATCAAGCTATGGGAGCAAATGTGTTATCAAAATCAATTCCCTCTTCCTGTGCATATTATTTACCTAGCAATCTAGTTTTATTCCTAACAATTTTGCCTTTAACATTCACCTTTTCCTAAATACCCGTTTAGTTTCAATTACCGGATGATTTAAAGGTCTTTCAACTAAAGTCCAAACATTGTTCCTTTCAAATTAGTTCATTTCTTCTTATATAGTTATGATCCAACTATCATCTTTTAAAACCTTATTCATATTCTTAGTTTCAAATTGTGAAAGTAAAGCAAGATTATCTACAAGAGATTTAATAGAAGAGTGGACTTTTACCCTCTCAGATAAATCACCAATGATTAACTCGTCTGGATGATGTTGTCAAACTTCCAAACCTTAGGAAGATTCTTTGGGGGTTTATCATCCTTATTGCCTTCTTCTTCTTCTTCCACACCTTGAGGATTGCTTTCCTTTGAAGTATTTCCCTCATCTTGGATGGTCAATTTTTCATACTTTTCTTTCAAACCTACATCATCATCTTCAAAAGCACTATCCATGGCAACATCACTAATTTCATCAAAAGTTACAAGAATGACTTTTTCAATAACAAGAGTTCTTCTATTATATACTCTATAAGACCTTTTATCACTAGAATAATCTAAGAAAATACATTCATCCATTTTCTTATCAAATTTTTCAAGATGTTCTTTTATATTCAAGTTAAACACTTGCAATCAAAGATTTTGAAATAACCAACAATAGAATTTTTGCCATATAAAAGTTCATGAGTTTGTTTAAAATTAGTTTCAAAAGTATTCTATTCAAAACATAATAAGCCGTATTCACCATCTCGACTCAAAAATATTTTGACAAATCACATTCATTTATCATTATTGTTGCGTTTCTTAAAAAGTTTTATTATTTATTTTAATAATACCATTTTGTCAGAGTCATTAATAGTTAAAAACTCATGTAAAATACCATTGTGATCATAAAATTTCAAAAAATCGCAGTGTTTAAATTTGATACCATTATCACTTTTAATTTTCACAATAGTCAAATTCAATAAATTTTGAACTTTGATAAATTTAAAAAAAACAAAGAGATCTTGAATAAAGTAGAGGCATAACACGAAAGGACATCTCTCCTAAGTTTTGTGATTTTTCTCTCGACTTCGGTTTCTTCAGTTTCTAAATTGGGCAAGTTAGGGTTTCACCAATGGCTGGCCTCCAGCCGCCAGAAGGAGGTGCTAGCCGTTCGTTTACTGAAGTTCTCCAGAACTAGCCGTCGCTGTCTCCATGCAAGGTAAAGCCACTCTCTCAGTTCAAAGGGGAGCCTGCAGTCTTGTTCTCGGAGGATGATATTGCCAAGTTGGCTATGCCGTTCCAGTTTGCTGTCATTGGGAAGTTCTCCCATGGGAGACCAAACCTTGACACTATACAGAAATCGTTCTCCGCAATTAGGTTTCAGTCAAGCTTCACCATTGGCCTTCTAGACCAGTGGCATATCCTGATACGGTTCTATTTGGAGGAAGATTTTCTACGGTGTTGGATGAAAGGGCTATGGAGCATTGCTGATTTCCCCATGCGCGTCTTCAAGTGGTCCTCTGAGTTTCAACTTACCAGCGACTCCTCTCGCGGTCCTGTCTAGATCGCCTTAGAGAAGTTGCCCATTCGCTTTTTTTGACAAGTTTTTGTTGTTCTCCATTGCTGCCGCAATTGGCAGCCCCCTAAAGGCTGACATAGCAACGACAACTCTAGCCCGCCCCACTGTAGCCCGGATTTGTGTTGATATTGATGTCTCACAGGAGCTGCCTAGTCGCGTTTGGATTGGAGCAGGTAGGGAGGGTTTCTGGAAGAAGGTGTCTTACGAAAACCTGCCATTGTGTTGCTCAGTTTGCAATAGATAGGAGCACTCCAGCGCAACCTGTTGGCGTGACAAGTGTGAGCAGGGTGGCGCACTACGTGTTACCTCTGTTCCAAAGCGAAAGGAGGCTGTCATGGCTGAGTAGCATGAACAAGGGATGTATGGTAGGGAACCAATTGCTATCCAGCTCCAGGAGGAGAAGAGGGAGGTTGCAATCCTGTGCGAGAGCGCTGGTCCGTCGCAGCAGAAGAGGGAGGCTGTTGTCCCCCGCAAGAGGGCTGGTTCGTCGCAGCAAGTTGCCGGGAGTGAACTTCTGGAGGTTACTGAGATCCCGCCTGCTTTGGGAAGCATCTATGATGATACTCAACTCCGGTTGAATGAGCAAGAGAAGGTGCCCCCCATGGATCTCTCTCGGATAGAGAGGAACTGCCAGAAGGACCTGTGCCTGGTAGAGCGGCGCTGGTTAGCTCCTTTTAGTAGTTTAGCAAGGCCTTGGGGCCGCGATTGCCCCAGCCAATGGTTGAACGTAATGAGGACGGTTTCACCATGGTTCTTTCATGGAAGATGAGGAAGCGGAGGGTTCATGTCCCGCTACCCTAGCAGATTCTGACACGGCAAGCTTCTAAAGCAATTGAGGTACCTCTCCACTCTCTCTCAATGCATAATTTTCTACTTTGGAACATTAGGGGAGCGATGAACAGATCTTCTATACGTCGCTTGTGAGGCTTACTTTGACTCCATAATATTGCAATCTTAGTTCTCTTGGAACCTATGGTAGAGGCGTGTAATATAGAGGTCTAGTGTGCGAAGTCATCAAATAAGAGTTTTGCTTTGAGTTTTCCATAATATTGCAATCTTAGTTCTCTTTGAGTTTTGCTTGCTTAACTCATCAAATAAGATCTGGGTGCTTTGGCATTCTGGTTTTCATTTTAATGTATTATATAATTCGGAGCAAATCCTTCACATTTTGGCGGGACATGATTCTTGGACAGAGACTGTTAATGCATCATTTATATATGCCAAGTGTACCAGGGCCGACAGGCGAACCCTATGGTCTGAACTAAGCTCTATCACTGGATTGATCACAAGGCCGTGGTTAGTGGGTAGGGACTTCAATGTTATCAGTACACTAGCGTAATATACGGGGAGGGCAGCCCAAGATCTTGGGGCAATCTCTGATTTAATACGGCGATTTCTGATTGCCGCCTCCAGGAGCTTCCTTACTCCGGCAGTTCTTATACATGGTCAGGTATTAGAGCAGGTGCTAGAATCTGGAAGCGACTGGATAGGGTGTTAGCCAATCACTAATGGCTCAGTTTCTTGCTAAACACTTCTGTCCAGTATCTCAATCGCGCCACTTCTGACCATTCACCACTCCTAGTTAGCCTGCGGTCCACTAGTGCAAGTGTTCCAAAGTCCTTTAAGTTTCAAACATTTTGGATTTCGAACCCTGGTTTCCTATCGATGGTGTAGAATACTTGGGAATTGCCGGCACAAGGGTATGGCATGTACCGTTTGGCCTTCAAGCTTAAGCGCCTAAAGGCGTGTTTAAGACAATGGAGCAAACAACAATTTGGAGATATATTTCAAATTGCTCGGCAACACGAGATAGAGGTTCAGCAAAAGGAAGTCCTGTATGAAGCAAACCCAACGGATGAGATGAGGACTGACCTCCACCGAGAGCAAGCCCGCCAGTTGCAAAGCCTCCACATTCAAGAGGACTACTAGCGTCAAAAGGCGCGATTAAGATGCTTGAGGGATGGTGACAGCAATACATGCTTTTTCCATGCTTTAGTTCGGGAGAAATGATCGAAACTTGCCATGCACCGCATTAAAGATGAGGGGGGCATGGGCTGAAGATGAGGAACAAATTGTGCAAGAAGCAGTTAACTTTTTTCTAGCGACTCTTGACTGCGGAGGAGGTCAGGGATATAGATGAATTACTAATCCATATGCCGGAGCTTGTATCAGTGGACCAGAATGCGGATTTGCTAAGAGAGGTAACAATGGAAGAGATAAAAGGGGTTGTTTTTTGCCTTAGTAAGGACAGTGCCCCGGGTGCGGATAGTTACACTGGCATTTTCTTCCAACATTGCTGGGATACTGTGGCCCCTGATGTCTTGGCACCAGTTAAAGACTTTTTGGCTAGAACCTCGATCCCGAAGGACATTGCTAGTACGCTGATTGTTTTGATTCCAAAGAAGCCAAATCTAGCTACATTTGTGGATTTTCGACCCATTAGCCTGTACACTTTTGTTAACAAAATTTTTACGAAAGTGTTAGCTAATAGATTGCACGCTATCCTCCCGAGCATTATATTTTTGGAGCAATCTACATTTTGTCCAGACCGCGATATAGCCAAAAATGTCCTCCTGACCCAGGAAATGACATTCAATTGCATTTTCAAATTGGACATGATGAAGGTCTTTGACAGAGTATTATGGTGGTTCCTAAGACGGCTGCTCCAAAAGTTTGGTTTCGATTATAGATTTATTTTGCTCATTTTAAATAACCTCTCTTAGAGCTAGTTTTCTGTGTTGGTGAATGGTAGATCTAGGGGCTTCTTTCAGGCATCACACGGGATTAAGCAAGGCAATCCCCTATCCCCTATTCTATTCATTGTTGCATCTGAGGCCCTTAGTAGGGGTTTAAGTGCGCAGGTAGTGGACGGCAGTATCACCCATTATGCACTGCCGAGAGGCTGCATTCGTATCACACACTTATCCTTCGCGGATGACATTGTGATCTTTACTCGTGGGGATAGGCGATCTGTGGTGAATCTGGTCTGGTTTTTAACACTCTATCAAGAGGGAGCGGGGCAAAGGATTAACAAACAAAAGGGCTTCTTTATAGTGTCAAGATGGTGCGGCGCTGGCCAAATATGTCGCATCTGACACTTGACTGGCTTCAGACAGGATTCTTTTCCTTTCTCTTATTTGGGATGCAACTTATATGTTGGCCATCGGAAAAAGAGTTTTTCTAGTTCCTAATTGAAAAATTCGTTGCTAAACTAATGGGTTGGCAAAAAAAGCTTCTCTCGCAGGGTGGTCACTTGATCCTAATTAAGCATGTCCTCTCAACCATACCTTTGCATGTGTTGGCGGTCATGGATCCCCCCAAGGGGGTGATCAAATGCCTCGAACGACTCATGGTAAATTTCTTTTGGGGACAATCGGAGCTAGGTCCTAAGCATCATTGGTGCTCTTGGAAGAATTTATGTTATCCAGTGAACGAGGACGGCCTTGGAGTGCAATCTTTTGAGGACATACAGGGGGCGTTCAGTTGTAAATTGTGGTGGCGATTTTGCAATTCAACTTCCTTGTGGGCCAATTATATGAGGTCTAGATATAGTGTAAACAATGGTGCCCTACCTACGGCTTCCAGAGTTTGGAGACGAATGCTGGTTGTTCGTGACACGGTGGACCACTTCACGCAAGTTATAGATTTAGACGATCGGATTCAGCGGGCTTGGATCCTTACACCCTCCGGAGATTTTACCATCTCCTCCGCATGGGATGCACTGCGGCCTAAACGTGCATGCCTAGGGTCAAGGAAGTGTGTCTGGAGCTGTCGAATCCCATGCAAAATAGCCATTTTTATGTGGAAGCTGCTTAAACACTACCTGCCTTTTCCTAAGGCTTTACACAGGTTCGGTTTCTAGCTCCCCTCTAAGTGCCAATTCTGTATTGATGGGAAGTCTCAACATCACATCTTATCCGACTGTTTTCTTGCTACAGAGTTATGGAATTTCTTCTCTAGGACCCTTTTGTTGCCTATTAGGCCTCCCAATGGCATCATCTGTCGCTTGCAGTAGTGGTGGCTCTATAAGTCTCCAAGTACTGTGCGAGAAGAGTTGTGTAGAGTGTTGCCGTCGCTTATATGTTGGGAACTGTGGAAAGCCAGAAACATGGCAATGTACGAGGGTATTGTTGCAACACCGTCCCGGGTTTGTTGGAGCATAAAGGCTTTGCTGCTCAACATGTCTCAGGTTCCTCCCTTCGTCCAAGTGACGCAAGACGACGGGGAGTTGGTACACTCGGGCTTATTAATTACCATGACACGGAGGGAGCGGCCACCTCATGCTGGGTCATATGGACACTGGCACCACTTGGGTATGTCAAGTTAAATATTGATAGCTCATCCTTAGGAAATCCCGGACACTCAAGAGTTGGAGGGGTACTTCGCGACTCTGATGGTAATATCCTGAGTAGCTTCTCGGCGTATTTAGGGTCCATGACAAATATGGAAGCGGAAGCCCTGGCATTGCTAGAGGGCAAGCAAATCTCAGCGGATTTCCACTTTTTTCACGTTGAAATGGACTCTCAGGTTTTGCTGAATATGGTGATTGGCAACGGCAGAGTGCCTTGGAAGCTATGGAAGACTATCTCACGCATCAAGACTTTAGCGATGGGTCGCCAGGTTACATTTGCTCATACCTATAGAGAAGCGAATGCAGTTGCAGATGCCCTGGCACAACTAGCAAGCTCCATGCATGTTTGTCAAAGGTTTCCTCCTTCTTCATTTCCAGCGCATATAAAGGGATTAGCCCACCTAGATAAGATACAGACACCCTATGTACGCTTGGCTTAGGGTTTGTCGGCGGAATGTCAGTCTCCTCCGATGTATACTGATGGTTTTTTGAATAAAAATTGGAGTGGCGCCCACCCCCGCGTACGAGGTTAGCCAAAAAATAAAAATAAAAAAAATAAAGAAACAAAGCTTTTGAAGGTTTCATCTGTATGAGCAAGAAATAGCACTCAAGTGTATCTAGAGTAATCATCAACAATTGCAAAAGCAAATCTTTTTTGTCATCAAAACTTGTAACTTGACTTGGTCCACACAAATCTAAATATAGAAGTTCTAAAGGTTTAGAAGTAGAAACACAAATTTTTTGGTTTAAAAGAGACCTTTGTTTATTTTTCAAATTGATAAGTATCACAAATTTTATCCTTTTCAAATGTTGATTTTTTGACAAATCTCTTACAAGTTCCTTTCTAGAAATTTCATTTAGAAAATCCATGTTAAATTGACAAAATCTCCTATGCCACAACTATGGATCATCATTAGACACTTTGAAACACTTGATTTTGAAATTTTCAATCTTTTAAAGATAAATTATATAGATATCATTGTATTCCTTTGAAAACAATATTGAAACTAGTATCAAAAATCAAACATTCATTCTTTTTTAATAGCACATAAAGATCTCTATCACATAATTGACTAACACTTAACAAATTGTAACCCAAATTCATATTTTGAATGAAAGTTTCACCATTTTTACCAATATCACCTATACCAAAAGTTGTGGCATTCTTATCATCTCCAAAGGTGGCTTTTCCACTATCTTTTGACTTTAACTTGATGAATTGTGACGTATCTTCTATCAAATATTTTGATCACCCACTATTTATATACTACTTTGATTGTTTGGTGGTGTTTTTTAAATAAACCTACACAAGAGCACAGGAAATAATATTTGCTACCATCTGATTCTTGGGTTCACAAGAGTTAGTACATGTTTTAACAATCCACATAGATCTCATTCCTTTTCTCATATTCTTTTCCACATAATAATTGTTGTTCATATGACTAATTTGGCAACAAAAGTTACACATAAAACTTGAATCTTTCACACAAATAGGTTTTAAAAACCTTATTCCTCTTTTTCTATGAATAGTAAATTTATTTGCACCAAAGTTGGTTTCATCAACTTCCTTTTATAGAACTCCTAGTTTCTCCTTTTGAAGGAAATCATTCAAATCATTCATTCTCTTTTTTGACAAACATCACTCTTCTATAATCTTCTCATAGAACTTTATTCTTTCACCTAGTTTCTTTTTTCAAATCACTTTGATTACAAACAATATCAAGTTTAAGTTTCTTCGAATCACATTTTCCTTTTTCAACTTTTTGTTTTCTTGAAAGAGTTTTGAGTTCTCATTCAACAAAGCATTAATTTTAACTTTCAACTCTTTGCTTTTAGCATAGAAATCTTTCAAACTATCTGCAATTTAGCCAAAAAAATTCAAGGTCATCATCATAATCAATATCATTATTTTCAAGAGAAAAGAGACTTGTTGATACCTCATCATTACCACCAGCCATAAATGCCATTTAACCCATTTCTTTCTCTTCTTTTATATTACTATCGAAGTTGCACTCATTGCAAAATGATTTGAAAAGTATTGAATCTTTGTTTTCTTTTTGCTTTGCCTTCCTTCTGATTCTTCATAGGGCACTCATTCATGTAATGTCCCATTTGACCACATTCATAATCTTTTCATTTTGTTTCTTACTCATTTCTTGCTTGGCCTTTCCTCTTGAAACATTGAGTTGATTCGAATTGTTGCTTGGTCCACTGCTGCTAAATCTTCTTTTATGGAGTGGAATTTCTTGAAACTTTTGGTGAGAAGTGCTAGGCTATTAGCTTCAATTTCTATATCTTCACCATCAATTAAAAATGCATCTTCTTGGGAGGCCTTGAGGGCAATGTTCCTCTTCATCTTTACATCTTCCTCCTTTTACACTTTAGATTGAAGTTTCAACTCATAGGAGATTAGTAGATTAATAAGAGACATAGTAGATTAATAAGAGATTCAATAGACATAGTATTTCAATATCTAGTGTTTTCAATGGCGATAACCTTACTATCCCAATCTTTAGATAAAACATTCAAAATTTTTCTATTTTTCTGATCCAAGGTATATTCTTTGTTAAGTGCTTCAAGATCTTTAATAATATCATTAAATCTACAATACATGTTATCTATATTCTCATGTGCCTCCATATTAAACGGCTCATAGTTAGTAATAAATAAGGATTTCTTTTGTTTTCTAACATCATCACTACCTTCATGAATTTCCTTTAACTTATTCTATATTTCTTTAACTATTTTACACCCTTTTATTCTATTAGATTTATTTGCATCCAAAACATTCATAACTTTTACATTCAAGGTAAGATTTGCTTTCTTTTGAACACTCAATTCACTTATATTTTTAGATCTAATCCTACCGATTTCTCTATCTTCTATAGTGGTTTCATAAGGACATTTATTTACTATATACCACAATTCTATATCAATAGATTACAAAAATATTACCATTCTTTTCTTCCAATTAATATAATTGTCCCCATTGAACAAAGATGGTCTAGTGATGGATTGACCTTCTAGAAACAATGCATTGCTGGTTGCCATGATCTACTCCAAATCAATTGAGTTTAATTTCTAGGAAACCAAAATTTGACACTAATTGTAAGACCCAAGTGCAATCTAAGACGGGGGTGAATTAGGTTGATTATGATCCTAATCAAATTCATGGAAAATTTTCCTCAAGTATAAATTTGCCAATTTGCCTAAATGATAAATCAATTTGATATACAAAAACAAGGAGAATTAAAAAATAAAGAGAAGCACTTGATCAACTTAATAGAAATAAGATAATTGTGGGATGAAATGCTTTTATGAAAAAAAACTCTTAAGATTTTCTAGATTCCTTTGACTTCAAAGAGCAAAATATTTGAGAAAAGGTTTATTTATGAGGTACATATAAATATTGCAATCTCTATGAATTTCAATCCCCTATAGAGTGACTGACTTATTCATGTTGGATTTTCTTTGCTGCAGAATCTTCATATTTAGTCAAAATTTGACCTTGAGATTAAGGATAAAATTTTTTAAAATATTGTCGCTTTGTGAATGTAATTTGATTGCGTTGTACTAATGCATAGAAAAATTACTTCATTTTTAGATTTCTGTGTGTGTGTGTGTGTTTTTTTTTTCTTCTGATAAAGCATAACTACTTGGCTGGAGGAGAAATTTGCAAACGAATAATTTTAAAACCGAAAAGTCTAAATAAATCCTAAGGGAACTTGCATGAGACTTTAGCAATAGTTTGGATTTTAGAGACCACTGCTATCAAAACAAGCTGAGGGATTTCTGTGATATTTCAAAATTAGTTTAGGGATAAAATATGCAATTTGTTGTTCTGCTACCATTCTGTGAACCAAGTTTAATCTTTAAGAAAGGAATTCGATAGTTTAGGGATGAAATATCAAAGTGATCACTGGTTTCAGAGAAATTCTTAATCACTAGAAAAAGAACATCCACTGTTGAAAGGTCAAAAAAATAAAGTAGAAAAAATATAGAAACAGGTTTTTTTTATTTGTTTACTTTTTAATTTTGAGACTAAGTATTCTTGTTTATTTTGCTATGGTTTAAATTTTACTTCAAATGCCATGTATCCTCTCTTTTATACAGATTTTCACTAATATAGTTTCAACTAATTAATCTTACATAGTTGGAAAAAGGAAAATTTCCATATTCATATAAACAAACGTGACTTAATTAGCAGAGTTGATACATGTAGGAATCACAATTTCTAACTAGAAATACAAACAGGGAATGAACATGATCTGAAAAACACCTAATTAAATCGCCACACACAAATGAAACTGGTTGTAATGAGTAGACATGTAGATTGACATGATTAATTAGTTACTAACTCGTTAAAAGTTATTGATACTGTACGCGATAAAATTCAAGTTTGCAAAAAAATTACAAGACAAGAAAAATATGATAAATATGAATTGTGTGAATAAACGAGCTACAATCTCCGAAATTTTATCAATATTGTATATAAAGCTTCCTTCGATTCT